TTTGCGCCACGAGATCCGCACGAAAGCATCCAGGAGCTATCCTGCCGGCCCCCGCTGCGGGTGTAGCATTGCGAGAGTTTGTAGGGGCTGCACCAAGCTTTTTTGGATAGTGTGGGACATTGTAGACTTACATGGCGATCACTGGCAGTGACCCTGCTTTTTGCCAGCTACTTGTCTACCAGCACACCTATGCCTTTGGATCCATCCTGCTAGAGCTATATGACAGTAAGCTTCTGGCAGGCGGGCATCTGTATATGTTCATGTAATTGCATGAGCTGTATCATGGACACTTCTTGACAGAAGCAGACATCATATTAGGTGCTTGTTTTCGTGATCGCCTATCGGGATGTGGCTTGAGCTGCCCCAGTTTGCACTGAAGTGCTCAAGCTCTAAGGGCATAGTTGCAGGAATTGACGAAGGCGCTGGAGAAGGACTGCTGAAAGGGGTGGGGTGGTAGCATTTCTCTTGGGAGCAGGATCAGCAGTGTTGGCAAGCACGGTAGTTTTGAAGAGTGCGGTTGTGGCGGCGGGCGGTAGCAATGGCAGTGGCGGTGGCGTGGTGTGGTACTGGTGCTGGCAGCAATGGTAGCAGCGGTGGCAGCGATAGTAGTAGAGAGAGTAGTAGCATTAGTAGAAATCGTGGCGGCGGTGCCGGTGGTGCTTGCAATCGTCCACCTTCTATAATCGTCACCGTCGCCCTCGTCATCAACAGCGTCACCGTCGTTGTCATCATCATCATCGTCATCATCATCATCATCATCATCATAACATCCTCGTCCTCGTCCTCGTCGGTGTCGTCGTCGTTGTCATCACATCCTCGTCCTCGTCGTCGTCGTCATGGTAGCGGCAGCAGCAGCTGTAAAAAGAAGAAGAAGAAGAAGTACTAGTAGTATCTAGTAGTACTAGTAGTGGTAGTGGTAGTAGTAGTAGTAGTAGTAGTAGGAGTCACGTGCTCAGGACATAGGATAGGAAAGATCAAAACTATTGGCAGGCGCAGCATGTTTGAGGGGTCGGAGAATGGAGTCTGAAACCCACGCGCTGAAGAAAGCTCGAGAGTCGCCTCTGTCGCGCAACTGGGGGCCACGCAAGACCCCACACGCGAGTAAGACAGATGCCAGCGCAGAAATGTTGCAAGTCGCTGCCATGGAGGGCGGGTCTCGAGTTTCCTTCATGGTTCGGGTTTGAGGCTCCCTTGTCCGGCCTCGTCCGACCCCTCAGAATTTGCTGCGCGTGCCAGCAGTTCTGAGCTGTCGTGGAAGCAGTTTTGAGCTTTCGTGTCAGCATGCTTTTCAACATCGTTACCGTTATCATCATCATCATCCTCGTCACAATCATTATGACCGCTGGCAGCCGATAGCATCCGCAGAGGTCCGTCTTTCAGTAGTAGTCGTAGTAGTAGTAGTAGTAGTAGTAGTCGTGGTGGTGGTGGTAGTAGTAGTAGTAGTAGTAGTAGTAGTAGAACTAGAAGCTGTAGGAGAAGCAGTAGTTAGGAGTAGGACGCGTCTTTCTTACAAGCCTCAATGTACAGACTTGACCCCTGAAAACCTTGAGTAGCGCCAGTTGAAGTACTGCAAACCCGGGTAGTTTCCGCATAGATGGATGTCCTCGCAGGTTGTAAAAAACCGCGAGATGCTGCGCAAGTTCTTCGGAAAGCTGGATGAGGCATTCCATGAGTGTGAAAAGCTTGTAGGCTGCAAAATCTCCTGGCCTGTCTCATGAAGCTTTAGAAGTACCTTTTTTGTTTTTTGTTGGCTTCGACGAGACTAATGCGGCCACATTGCATGTGAGGCTGTACGGTAAGTTTTATGGAGAGAGGAACGATGCAATTTTTACAAATGGTTCCCCTTATCATCCAAGTTTTCGGGGTACATAGTTCTCGTCTTCCTACAGTCAGAAACTAACGCAGGAGATATTTGAAGTTTAAGGAACTCCCATTTGATGCTTCATGGTTGAACTCGTAATGTATGGGGTACATGTTGCATGTACTACTACCAGCACCAGTTTAAGCCAGCGTCTGACAACCATATGAAGAAGAACTTTTGATCCTCTTTCTGAATGGGGATGGTGTGTCAGCCTTTGCCTTGGCCGGCGTCAGCTTTTAGAAGAGCCTCTATGGACTTCAAATTTTTGTCGAGCCAGGGGGTTCCCCAATTATGTAGCAAGCGCACTCCATCTCCAATCCCACGGCTGTGTTTTTTCAACGTGAGAATTTTTTTCAGGGGAGCGTCAGGGGACAGTGCTAGCCGGCAAACAAAAACATGTGAGTGCTTCTGGCTAATAGAGCGCCTCCTGAGCTATTTTCAATACTAATTGCGCAGAACACTGGACTATTTAGTATTTAGGGGGGACATAGGAGTCCGTCAGGTAATCTAGTAGAGTTCTTGATCGATTTGCCAAGAGGGGCCCATGTCCACCAAATGAAAACAAAAGTTTTGAATATAGCTCCTGACCCTAGTATATCAAGCCATGTCGAAGCCAGCTAGGTCACCTTCAACGACAACCATTCCTTGCAGGACCCTGGCAGGGCTGGGCCTGCTTGTGTTGGAGGTTTTGGTGCTCTTGGATGATTCCGAAAACTACGGAGTTGCTGGTTACCATAATGGGTATATATATATATAGATATTCTCCATATATATATATATATTCTCCATCTATATGTGTATTCTCCACATATACATATAATATTTGTAAGTTTCCCCAATGTAGTAATCTAATTTAAGTTCCTTAGCAGCAACCCGAACTATGTTCGCTGTCAACCAGCTAGATGACAGGTTGTCGGGCTGCCAAAGTTTCGGAACAGACCTCGCTTGATCCATGAAGACAGGATGTGCGTAACTTGTCTTGCAGCCTCACAATAGCATGTCGGCACAGCGCAGCACCCAGTGAATGGTTCAGGATTCAGGCTATACATGTTGTCCATCCTTCCAACTTCTCGAACAAGTGGCACCAGAATTAAACTGGGTAGTGCAAAGCCAAAGTTATAGGTTATAACCAGGTAATATCCCGTGGCATATACCCCCTCACAACCACTAGCTGAAATTTGCCCATTTTGGAACTGAAGCATCTCCGCCTGCCCAGAGTTGATGCCGCTGATGCCGCTTTGCGTGTTGATCCTCGCCTTGTGTTTTGTGCCTTGCTGCTTGGACTACTAAAGGAGGTGTAGTGGGCATTGTATAGGGACAACTGCAAGGATTCATTCGCCCATCCCCAACTTAATCCCTAAACCCGAAACATTCAATACTTTGGTAGTTTTCATTTATTTCCATTCCCTAATTATGAGCTATATGTTTTCAGAGGCCTGGATCTTCAATCAAGACATTAGCCCTTGGAACACCTCATCAGTCCGGGACATGCGCTACATGTTCGAGGATACACGGGCCTTTAATCAAGCCATTGGCTCTTGGAACACTTCGGCGGTGACAAGTATGCAAGGAATGTTCAGATATGCCGAGTTCAACTGACCCATCGGCTCTTGGAGCGCTGGGGCAGTGACCGACATGAGCTACATGTTCGACAACGCTAGGAACTTCGATCAATACATTGGCTCTTAGAACACTTCGTCAGTCACGGACATGACCGGCATGTTGAGCGGCACTCCATTCTCAAAGGCCATCCATTCCTGGGATACTTCGTCCGTCGTGAGCATGAGTAAAATGTTTGAAGAAGCCTCCGACTTCAACCAAGACATTGCAATGTGGAATACGTCCGCCGTCAAGACCATGCAGAACATGTTTAGGTCTGCGTCTAGGTTCAATGGAGACATTGGCTCCTGGGACACCTCAAGCATGGAGGACATGGTAAGCATGTTCGAAGATGCCTCAGCCTTCAACACAGCCATTGGGTCTTGGAACACCTCCGCAGTGAGGTCTATGACGAGCATGTTTGAGGGGGCCACGGCTTTCAACCAAGATATCTGCTACTGGAACACATCAGCAGTGACAAGCATGATGCTCATGTTCGACGGGGCTGCATCCTTCAACAAAGACATCGGGGCTTGGGACACGTCGTCTGTGCTGGACATGCGTTTTATGTTCAGTGATACCTCGGCGTTCAACCAAGCCATCGGCGCATGGGACACATCGTCGGTCGAAGACATGCAAATGAGGTTCAGCCAGGCCTCGGCGTTCAACCAAAACATTGGCTACTGGGATACCTCGGCAGTCAGGGACATGAGTTGGATGTTTTACAGAGCCACGGTTTTCAACAGACCCATCGGCTCTTGGGACACTTCGTCAGTGACAACGATGAACCGAATGTTTGAGGATGCTGTTTCCTTCAACCAAGATATCGGATCATGGGATACGTCATCAGTCGCAAGCATGTACAACATGTTCAGCGGCGCCACAGCTTTTGATCAGGTGATCGGATCTTGGGATACTTCCTCCGTCGAAAACATGGACCGCATGTTCCAGAATGCCGTGGCCTTCGGCCACAGTTTGAGTTCTTGGGACGTTTCGCAGTTGCGGTCGAAGGTGTTCATGTTTCAGGGAGCGGCTGCATTCGACGACACTCCTTGTAAGGCTGGTTTCTTTCCCGCTCGCAATCTGCTTGGCTGCGAAGTGTGCCCACCAGGAAGGTTTGCCAGGGCAAACGCCTTTTACTGCCATCCTTGCGGTCCGGGCTCCGTTCCATTGCCAGATCGCAGCAGTTGCGCAACATGCCCAGCACTGCACGTCGCAGAGATAAACACTTGCAAAGCATGCAGGCTTCCCCATTTGGTGTTCAAGGATGAGTGCATTTGGTGGCACTTGCCTTTGATTGCCCTGGGAGTTGCAATCTTGCTTGTGCTTTTCCGCTTGGTGATGATGTATAGGCGTGTACGCACGGCGAAGCGTATTGCAGGAGTTTTTTTGTAATTTCTTTGACGATTTGTGGGAAGAGAATCCTGAAACAATCCTTGATCATCATGCGGTCTTAGAAAAGCTAGGTGCTGACAAAATCACAGTTGACCAGCAAGTGCTTGAAATGCGTGCTCGGCAAAGTGAAATCGCCGGAGTCAGCATGAGGTATTTGCTTTCACCGGAGTTTGCTCAGTTGGCAAGGCAGCGCACTGGAAAAGATGACCCGACGTTCATTGACATGAAGACATCGTTTTGGCTGGCTGAGGATCCGATAGGTCAGAATGTGCTGTGCCCACGTGGCCGCAGACCCGGTTGCGCGCTAGTCGACTGGCTGCCGCGCAAGCATCGCCGCGAGCAGACACACTTCATGTCATGGTCATGGCGATGCAGCATTGGGCAGATGAGCAGTGCCCTTCATATGTACCAAAACACCACCGTTCCATTTATTGTGCCAGAGCGCATATCTTTCTTCATGTGCTTCTTCGTAAACAACCAGTTTCCATTGATTGTCGAAGCATGCAGTGCTGGAAGCGACAATTTGGAGGATGTCTTTGAGAAAAATCTCTTACGTATAGGTCGCCTGGTAGCGGTTTTGGACACGTGGGATGAGCCAGTATATCTGAGAAGAATTTGGACCGTGTATTTTTGGAACGTATTGAGCAGCATTTCACGTGTGTCCACATTGCCAGTTCAAATCAAAGTATGACATTTGATAATAATCGTACATGGTAGCTTGTAGCTCAGCAACACTGCAGGTACGAGCAGTTTGTCGCTTCCAAGCTAAATGTTCCAGTGGTCTTCGTGATGCCAGAACTCGCCACGAATCTGTTACATGAGCAGATCGACCGTGGAAGGCAAGGTATTCGCACCTTGACGCTGTCTGTAAGCAGGGTCGACTCAGAGAGTGCAGTGGCCTTCTACAAGGAGGATGAAACCAAAGTGAAGCGAGTGATTCGAGAAATAGTTTCAGTCTGATGCTGTCAGGAGATTGGTCAGCAGCAATTGCCCCCTGTGACAGGTCAGTGCGTGCCGTGTAGCTTGGTCTGTCATCGGAATTGCAAACTGCACTTGTTTGAAGGTACATGAGCGTGTTTCACATTGCTGTTTCGTCTGAAAATCGGATGAGCTACAATGCTAACTTGAGCGGTGCGACAGTGCGCTAGCGAAAAAAAATTCGAGAAAGCGTTGGTTTTGCTCAGGTAGACAGCCACGTGACAGAGGCGATGGCACGCTGGATCGGAGGTGTAGTGAGCAAGAACTTCCAACAACTCATAGACCAGTCTCGCCAAGAGAGGACACTCCGGCAGGTGATTCCTCTTTGATGGCTGACCAACCGGCTCGTCATCCTAAAGCTTAGTTACCAGACTGATGGTTTGTGGAGAATGCAGAAATGTACTCCTGTAGTCCCTCTACAGTCTCGCAATGATAATTAGCCCCTGATAGCCCTCATATCCTCCGTTGTAAATCCCTACGAACAACAAACAAGAAAAAATCGCAAGGCTCAGGCCAAGAGTGCCGGCCATCATGAATGCGGATTTTAACGGATCAAAGAGTACTGATCAAAATGGGAATTGTGGAGGAAGGTCCAGGCCATGACTTGTTCGTGCACCCTCTGAAATGTAATTACATTGCATAGGATCTTTGATCAACTACGACTACAACCTTTATTTTCTTCGGTTTTGTGCTGGACACAACGTCCTGCAATCTCGGACGTGTTGTTTGTTTATCTGAGAAGGCAGTACAAGACAGAAACAGGCAAGAAAGAGTGACAAAGGCTTCAAGACCTAAAGCAACATCCCAGGATAATGCAGGCACAAGAGAGTTAAGGAACCTCGGTAAAAAGACTTGCGCCCCCTGCACCAAGCCCTAGATTTTGAAATCCTGCTTCGGCCATGCCAGTTTTATAATCCTGGTCCCAAAGTCGCAGAACTCGTCCCTGTCCCTGAACCCTAAAGCCGACATCTCATTTTGGGGTTTGCATACTGTCTATGATATAGTATAATATATCATAATATATTGGGATAGTGGAAGAGAGAATGGAAACTACTGTATTAGTCTAGGGCATATATTGGGGATGCCGGTTTCTGAACCCCCCCAATTCTCAGGACCTCTATGGCTTATTCCGCCTAATGGATGGGGACCGGGCCTTGAGCTTCCAGCCAGATGAAAAGGCCTGGGCCTTATGGCTTTTCATGCTTAGTTTTCATACATGTAAAAGACTAGAAGTGCATAGGGTTTTATTTGGGATGGTTGCGGCTTAAAGGCAGACCACGTAAGCCTGTTGCAAAAGGGTCTCCAAGTTGGGGTCGTAGTTCTTTTCTACTTACATGGAGAATGACCAGGAGCTGTTGCGCATGAAATTGTTTCCATATTTGCGATATTTGCGACTGGCACTCAAGGGACCACTCATGCAGGCAGTTTGCACACGTGGTTCAAGAACTGCAGAGCTGGATACCTTTGCGACCCTTTGCCAGTCACTTAAAAGCAGAAAGCCCTATGGTGCCCCTGCATTTCAGTTGTAGAAGTTGCGAAGTCTGGGGCGGCCCCTATGATCCCTCAACGAATCTTGGCTTGAGGATATTCAGTGCGTCTTGAGGTTCACAGGCCCCTGCCCGATACGGCAGTACCATCCCGACACCAGATGATCTGGGTATTCCAAAAACAAAGTTCTTGCCAAGAAAGTCTGGCAGCTACAGGGAGATTATAGGGACCTTTCTTATACATCATCCGAGGTTAGGGGGTTAGGTTGAGAAACCCCCATTTTGGTGCCATAAGCAACAAGGGGGAATGAGGCTCGGGGTTGTAGATGATGGGCAGACTGCGTGGATGTTCATTTGGATGTGAGGGCATGGCATCGAGTATTCCCTTGTAAGGGGCCAGTAGTTTTCAGAGACAGCCACGTGATGTCAACAATAGCGGCAAGATTGAATTAGAAACGCCATCTCTTTACCCCGCATACATGTCTCCAACGTCGCCTGCGTGCATGCGAATTCAGGTAACTACTGACCTCAAACCAAAATCCTACTTGCTATCATGTGTTCCCTAACCACCCCTACCCTACCCCCTGAGTCCTTGTCAGTTAGGCTTATCAAGGTTTAAGAAAGGCTACTAAAGGGGGAGCCCATAATGAGAACTGTGCTCGGTAGTGCCGACCTGGAAGGTTTTCAAGGAGCATGCTCCCTTTGGTGGGCCGTCGCCGTTGCTACGCGTCAGGGCCTTGTAATCCCGTGGAACCCAACACGGTGTCCCGAGTTTCTTGATTCAATTCCACTGTGCAAGATCATGGTGTTTGCTGACGGAACTTGGTGCGTTTAGCATGGCGATTTGACTTGAGTGGAACATCAAGTGCTCAAAGCAGAAGGTTGACCAAGGGCCGGCCACTGTGTAAGGCACGCATCGGTCTGGACGTACAGATTTTTCCCACCATCTAGAAGTGACCACAACCAGCTCAGAGGAAGCTGCCAGCCCAGACGGTATGCTTTGCTATTCCTGGAGGACAAGAGTCCTTGCATGAGCACACACGCCACGGCGCTTGCTAATCCTACTTCCCTGTGACCTTCTTCTGTTTGGCCATGGCTAAAACAACCTAGTTCAGAGGCACCCATAGTCGATTCTGACCACAGGAGCTCGCATGAGCCTCTTGGCATGATGCTGTCCGAAAAAAACCTCGAAACAGTATACCCCAGCGCGATTCTTTGCCTTCCGGAGCTGACCCGAGGTTGGTGCTTCGATGGAGCCCTGTTGCTTGCTGAGGGAAGTAGGTCTTAGGATGGTAGCAGAGGTTCGGGTTTGAAGATGCGGGTTGCCTCCTGCTGCCTCCTATAGCACTTGCGCTTCTATCGGTCCATGCTGACGACAGCTCAGGCTTCTGGCATAGATTTTGAAGGCCCACTTGTGTATGTTTCTGACTTGTACTGTAATTCTTGCAAATTTTACATCACCTTTTTGATCAGTGCATATGGCCGGAAGGAGACAGAGACGCGGATGATCGAAGCGACAGAGGAGACGGAAACGGAGGCAGAAGAATGTAGTTTGTTTATTATGCCCGCGATGGTGCATTTTTAAACGTGCCCGTATGTCCCCCAATCACTACTATCCTGTCAACGGGAGCTCCCACAAAGAATCCCCTCAACTTTTGCAATTCCACAAAATGAGCCACCTTGATCCTGTCCAACTGCGGCGATACCTGGCCGTTGGCTTCTAGCTTTTAGGCTCGCGTACGACCTCGGGTAGCGTGAACAACGGTGAGTTCAAAGCGAGTTGGGGGGAAGCCTTTGCAGCTGTGCGTGTAAGATGCAAATTGCTCAACAATACAAAGGTGTCTATCTGGTGTGTTTTTCAACAGTTCTGACAGGAAACTTGATGCGTTTTTATGTGGGATGTAAGTTGGGGGAGCGCTATACAATACATGCCACGTCCTGTCTGAAATTAAAGCTGAACCTTCTATGCTTCGCGCTTTGCAGCTTGACTCCAACAATTTGGCAGCGTTCTTTGTGGCACTGACAGAAACGCTCCTGGCTCAGTGTTCCAGGATCAGGGCTGAAGGAGTAGTAAGGTTTGGCTGAGGATGTAAGCGGGTAAGCATTTGGATTTTGGAGTGACGGATTGAGGTTTGGGGATTTGGGCTTCAGGATTTAGGATGGGGGTCGTGGGATGAGAAGGATTTAGAGGTGTGGGCGAAAGGCAGGCATTCCAGAATGTAGGGCCACCCTCTTGCACATTGCAAGGCCTGCTGAATGCCCACGTTTAGGGACTTTCGGGGTCAGGATTTAACGCTTCAGCTCACGCACAGGAATTTCGGATTTAGGCTTGGGTTTGCTGGGGCAGGTTCTGATGTAGGGTTCTCTGCTTAGTTTGATCGAAAGGCCAGGGTTGAGAGTTCCAGGGTTCATGCAGACACCCCTCAAACGCCTTTGAAAAAGGATAGCAGTCTTTGCAGTCTTTTTGGGGTCTCATTTTAGCTGGAGGGAGGGTAAGCCCTAGATTCGAGACCTGGCTAATCGGAAGATTTTAGTTTCCCCAAAGACCAACATTCGGATCATGTGACCCTCACACCATGACCACCGGGTTCTACTTACTGGGGCTTGGGGCAACCTAAACCCCCAAACCCCAAAACCAAACCTCTCGTAAATTGTGGGAAGCCCGCATACCACCAAGTTTGCCGCAAGCCGCGGTCACCCAGCTCAGGGCCGTGCCCCCACAAACTCTTTCAGGTCTTCAGGGGCTTATTACCTGTGCCGGGGGGGGGGGGTAATTGAACGTATTACGGGTATTAAGGGTATGGAACGAACACAAAGAGTTTTACATGAGCAGACAGCAGGGATTCTGAAAAAGATTTCTGTTTGCAGCAAAGTCTGGGTCCTTATCATATTCAGGTTTTGGGCCCCATCTTTTACTTTCCCTTTTTCCCCCAAACAGATGGAATGTGGTATGGTTGCTTTTTGGATCACGTTTTAGCCTCGGATCCCGTCGGCGAGGGCCATCACTTTTTCGGGCAGTGAAAACATGTTCTGACTGGAGTCCCTTCGAGCGTTGTTCCAACGCACTCGCGTTTAGTTGGGATTCTATGATCTTGGGCTGCATCTTGGGGAGAAACTGATGTCAAAAAATGCTGTGAGAGGTCTGATGTCCTTACCAATCCTTGGGGTAAGGCTTGAGGATTTGTACAATCCCTGCACCTTTTGATTTGACTTGTTTTGCAGGAAGCCGGGCACCGCACATCTCAATCACCATTTCTCACTTGGTGCCGCAGGCAGCTTGCACGAAGCACAGTCCCATACATCCTGGTCTGCCACACTGCAATGAGGTGTTCTTAAAGCTAGACCTTTTAATTTCAGTCTGTAGCATCAGCAAACCCCTGAGCCGAAAGGCTGTTATGGAGCCCCGTCAAGGTAGGAGGGCCCGTTGAACCATGAATGTGGGACATGCCCCGTGCATTTATGTATCAAGAGTAGAAATCCATTCCATGGTCCGTA